CAACTTCTCATGTAACCTCATGTGCACCGAAATTTTGGAAATTTTGATCTTCTCTTATCTAGTTACGTAACTATTACCAATTGTCTTTGTTACCACCCCAACAACACAACTGTTAATTAATTTTTTCAAGACACCCTGTAAATCGCGACGCCTCATTTTACTATGACGCTTTGATAATATGCTTGCGAATGCACAAAGGTTTGTTGAAATTGTACACTTTTTATTTATATTTTACTAAAAAAAATTTCAGGTTGTACGCAGGTGATGAGAATCCACGAAACAAAATGGATCCGGATTATTCTGCGTCAATGTTTCTTCTTTCTTTGTTCAAATTCAGAGAACACTCAGGCTTTTCGGTTGCCATCACGCTATCCGCTTCATCCTATAAAAAACAAAATTTAAAATCTTGTTTCTCGATATACTACTCACAAGGAGAGTTAATGGAATGTTAGAAATATTTTTCAGAAAGTCTATATGAATTGAGCAACCAAATAATTTTCATTTTTTCCACATAAATAGGAAAACGAGTACCATACATGCAGAAAATTTATAATGAAGATGGGTTGATGAAGAACTGAAGGAAAACTCTTGTAAAGATAGGTGCTCACTAGGTTTGTAAAGGGCATTAATAAACGGTCTGTAATAAATCACTTAAAATACCCGTCCAAACCTGTAAAAGATCCAGACCATAGAAATAATTCCACGTAAACTTTGAGCACAGGAGGATCCTAATAAAGATTTAGGAAAAAACTGTTGTCGCCATTAATATCAAAACAGTTTATTCACCTGATGGAACCTGATTGTTAAGCAAATGTCCTGTTGAAAGTGTATTTATATGTTCGTCTTCCTTTATGGAGCTAGGTAAACTGAATGTTTGGCTTTAGTTTTATTTTAACTGGTAAAATTCTATTCCTCCTCTTTTCTACTTTATTGCATTAAACCTGAGAAAAATTGTGTTTCTTATCTCCAAAAGTGTTTAATCTTTCAATAAAATTGGCCTAATATTGATTAACCCATATGTGTTGACCTCTCCATATTCATATCCATTTTTAATTGATTCGTTATTCATAATATTCTCAACCAATATTAATATTACTTCAGTAATTCGCGCTCTATCAAAATACATAATTAGTGGGGAGTCTGTTCAATATTCGTACATATTTATTTTAATTAATGACTGTTTAGATATGAGAACGGAAACAGCATTTTCTTCATTGAAGCTTTAAGCAGAACAGTTTGACATAATATAAAAAATATGTGAAATAACTGAGACGGGACCGTACAAACAGGAATATAACTGTAAATTGAAGCAAATCACATCAGCTTGTTAATATCGATTAATAAATGCGGAAAATTCGGAAAAATGTTTAAAAGTCGTTGTTAAAGTGATTAAAAATTATATTTTATAACTAAAAGTATCTCATAATAAGTAGTGTTTGTTCAGATAGACCGTTAATTCATAACATGAAGATACATGACCCTCTGCCATCGAATATTTCTAAGGGTAAAGGTGAGATCCTTTATGTTTATATTCGCTAATATACAATCAGACTACCGAGCAATACTACTAAATTTTTGGGTGAATAAAATCCAGGTTAAGAAGCTTTCGAAATTATGCACTTTAGGTTGAAATCAGCTTTACTAATGAAGCAGCACTAGTTAATATTCTTTGTATGTTTTAAAAATTAACTCTATGCGTGCTAAATTCCACCAAAGAAAGTGAACATTTCCCACGACTTTGAAACAGATTGTTTGTCACAAACTCATCTTCATTTGAAGTGGATTTATCCAGTATTTTATTCAAACGACTAATGCTTACTCTTCACACCGAATAGCTTGCGTAATTAAGTTTCACAGTTAAAATAAATTTCCTGTTTTGTTTGTTGTCTTCGAATTCACAAAACAATTATTTTCGAGGTGTAGTGTTATCAGAAAGCTATAGTAGAAGTTAATTAGACCACATCCACTGAGAATTTGTATAACCAATTACCACACAAGAGATGAAAGCTAAGAAGCAATCCTTCTGCATTACACTTTACGTATTTAAACATACGGTGATTGCTAAGCTAAGTATTCAAAAGTTTTCCTGGTGTGAGAAATATTTTGAATTTATTTCCACTGTTGGTGACCGATTTTTATCACTATTTGTGGGAAGCACAACATGACACTCCAACTTTATTACTCGATGATTAACAGTTAATTATCACAGTGGTGGTCTACGTCAGCGTTTTCAACATAGAAAGATTTCCGTAAAATGATTCTGTTTTATAAATTTGAACAAAAAAAGAAGAAACATTGACGCAGAATAATCCGGATCCATTTTGTTTCGTGGATTCTCATCACCTGCGTACAACCTGAAATTTTTTTTTAGTAAAATATAAATAAAAAGTGTACAATTTCAACAAACCTTTGTGCATTCACAAGCATATTATCAAAGCGTCATAGTAAAATAAGGCGTTGCGATTTACAGGGTGTCTTGAAAAAAATTAATTAACAGTTGTGTTGTTGGGGTGGTAACAAAGACAATTGGTGATAGTTACGTAACTAGATAAGAGAAGATCAAAATTTCCAAAATTTCGGTGCACATGAGGTTACATGAGAAGTTGATGATGTAACACAGTGAGCAGAACTCAGAAGATCAAGAAAAATTATCTCTTTAGAGAGTCGAGCGAAAAATAAAAGGAAGGGGTGGAGTGAAAAGATAAGTCAACAAAATTAGAAAACAGAGAGTTACCAAGAAGTGAGCCACCAGTAACTGAAGTCCAACAACGGATTCTTTTTGGACACATAAGTGAGGCTTCAATCGTTTTATTCCTATAGCTTCAGCAAAGAAAGAAGACAAACAAATTTTAAACAAAGTAAGAAATACTCGCTATCGTTGGCATTCATTTTCTTCGATTAATGCTCACATTTTACTGAAATATGAGATGAATTATAGATAAACAAAAGTCTTTGTGCTGTATCATCACGGTGTGTTTCAATTTTAGGAACTTTTTTCCAGCCAGCTCCATATTCGTATGTATCTCTAAATTCTGTAATATATACCCGGGACAGAAAACAATGAGTTATACGTGGTTTTCACCATGAGCTGACATCAGTCAGTGAACCACTGGGAGTACATGACAACTGTTTCATCATTCTAGTTTGAGACTCTTCAACAGTACGCACCCACCGGGATTCGAACCCAGGACCTTCTGGCTACAAGGCTAGCGAGCTCGTAGACCATTAAGCCACTGGGACCTGATCTAAAGGCTCATGAATTCCAACTTCTACCAATTCCTGATGAAATCCTGTAACCAATCAAATCCCTACAAACCAACACTTGAATGAGTTATACAGTTGTTTAAAAACATGGATTAATTTTATTCCATTATTGTGTCCTTGTAAAGGAGAAAAAATATTAAACAGTCCGCTGTGAAGGTAATCAGCTGACATTAAATATGACTAGTCATATTTAGTCACTTTAACAATATGGATTTATTATCCGCTGTTACCCGAAATACGTTTAAAATAATTCTAAAGTGTTGTTTACATGCTGAAAATAAATAAATTCTGGAAGTGAGTCGTTTTCTGGCTTAAGGTCTTCAATTAAAGTTATATTCATGATGAAGAAAATGTGTTGTGCGGGAAGATGTTTTTCGTTCAAGTCAGTTAACAATAAACTGTTGATACTTTATATGGATTTCCATGTGATTGATCACTGAAATTATTTCAAAACATATTTTAGGATCATGGAAATAATAACTGTTCACTTCTGCATATTATATTAAAAGCCATTTACATTTAAAAATATTAATCGTATCAAATGTCAAGAGGTTGTTATTCAAGGAAGATTTCGCCAATGACTGACATTAATTTGAGAACCACTAAAAGCCAGACAACATGTGGTGGTCATCTCGTGATGGTTCGAAACTCTGAAGTGATCAGCAGTCGTAACCCCACTTGAGATCAAGCTAAGGACCTACAGGTCACGAGACGAACCCACTAAATATCCACCCTTTGAATAAGAATCGAATGACCCATACATTTTAACTTCCATCATTCCACATGATATAGCACCATCACCTAAGGCTAATTAGGAGACGTGAGCAATGCGGTCTACCGTGTCTTATATGAGAACATATGCTCAGAGAAAGGATTGGATCAAGTTGTGTCATAATTTTACACCTACTTTAATGTGAGTGCGGATTTTTTCAAGCCGAATTCTCAGTCTTCAATGTAGCCGCCAGGGGTGTTTTGTGTTACAATGCCAAAAGTGATTCTGAAATCTGTGTCGAAAAAAATCCAGGCCTAAGCAGTAACAGTATTTATTATGCTTGTCTTATACACAAAGATATGACTTAAATTCGTGAATAGCCGAGGGCTCCGCTCCCTTGGAAGAGAAAATTATTCTGTGTATGTTTCTCTCGTCATTATGATTATCGTTATGATTATTATCACCTTGAGTAGTGTACGGTATTATTTCACCTGCCGCTCTTTATTGCTTTAATTCAGTTGTGTCTTTTACACTGCCAAACTCTATATTATAAATCTTTTCATCTTGTCACGTGATGTTTCACTTACCTGCTAATTCCATTAGTGCTATTAATTTTAGAATCCTTTCTAAGACCTATAGACAGTATGATATATTTTATTTGTTTATCACCTTACACTGAACTATGAGCCCAATCGTCAATATTTTGTAGCAAATCACATTAATTTAAGTATTTACACCTATTGTTGAAATTTCCTCAAAGGATATTGTTTCTAAAAAATTATATAAGTCAATATATATATATATATATATATATGTATGTATATATAAATAAGTGTACAGCTTGGTAATATATTTGTTGGATAGTTTCTTCGGTGAATATTGTGTTTTCTAATGTCACAACACTGTTATTGAATTGTATAGTAAAAAGTGCACTCATCACAAAAAAATAACCGAGTTCAATATTATTAAAGAAGTAAACTTCTATTTTAACAGTCACCAGAATAATTACGCATGGATTTGTAAAATGAAAACGTTTTTCGCCTTTGGTAAGTAGCTGGATTTATCCATGAAAAACATCACCACTTATTGTCACTGGAGATTTTTCTGCCTTATGTTGTGATTTTCCTATTCTCCTTCCTTTATAGTTTCTTAGGTAGATAGTAGAAACTAAAATTTTGTAAAGCCTTTTTCAATTCACAAAATAAAAGCTGAGAGAACTGTAAGGCTCAGGGCAAAAAATGACTATGACAGGCAGAAAGAGAACTTAAACCCTTAAAATTATCACTTTAATTGAATTTTTTCAAGTAGCATTTTTCTCTGAAATTCTAATTTCTTGGTATAAGTTTATCTGAGCTTCAGTAATCGATCTTCTCCTCCACAAGAATCACTTCACTCCAATTTCTTACGTTGAACTAGTGAGTTTAAAATGTTGATTCGTTTATAAAAATATGATTCATGAAATTATGAAAATTTCCACATAATATTCTGAATTATTCATCGAATATACGTATGCAAAGATTAACATGTGGTTTCATGACTCACTTATAAAATACAAGAGTAATTCAAATATCCCTCATACTTTATTCGGAACACGAACACATGAGAGCTTAAAGTTGTTTCCAAGGTCTTCGTCAGGCCCTACAGTTATAAATCCACTAGGTATATATATACCTCTCTAACTGTTGCTATGATAAAAATTATGCACAGCGTACAACTGGACAGATTCGTCAACAAATTCGAGAACATTTATCAGCCTAATCCAGAAAGAGTGAAATCAGATGCATAAAAATATTCAGTTCTACCACACTTGATACATATAACAAATCGCATTGATGCTAACATAGTCTTTAGAGTTATTTACCTTATTCCGAAGTAATTATCACACACGGTTTGTATGAGTCTCCTACATACATCTGAGGCTGTTTCTATTTTTAACGACTGTATTATAAGTGTCTATTTAGGAAGGACATGTTCAGGTGTCGTTTCCACCGTGGTTTAACTTGAGTACAAGTTCCCTTTCGTTCGAAGAATTCCTCTCCCCCTTTTTCACTTTTCTCTGTGTCTCTCTTCTCTTTGTCGAAAGAGGTTTGATCACAATGTTTCGTAACCTATAATCTTCATTCTGGCATTCATCAAGTTCTATCCAACAATCGTGCATACAGACTCATCCTCTTTCATTTGACATATTTATTATTTCGTGATGAACTATCAATTGCAGTCTTAATATTTTGCTTTCAACACATACTGTCATATACTACCCAACGATGTTTTACAGCCTTAAACTGACTTGTCAGTTTTTCTTCTTCATATTGTGTGAATCTATTACTACTAGTCGCGATCATTATCTCTCATTTCACAATATTCTGTAACTGGATTTAGCCAGAAAGTTCGTCATATGAATTCTACTTACTATGTCATCCTATAACTAATCTGTTATTTTACGTTAAAATGTATTCGCCTCAAGTATCTGGGTAGCATTATAATAGTCACAAGTATTTTATTTAGTATCTCGAAGATTCAGAAAATAATTTATTGAAGAGAATATCCTATGGTCAGACTGACACTTAATTCATTATTTAAGTGTTGGTTTGTAGGGATTTGGTCGATTGGTTACAGGATTTCATCATGAGCTGACATTAGTTAGAGGACCACTGGAAAACCTGGGAGTACTGGATAGCTGTTTCGTCCCAGTTAGGGACTCTTCATCATTACGCACCCACCGGGATTCGAAACCAGGACTTTCTGGTTACAAGGCTAGCAAACTCATAGACCATTCAGCCACTGGGACCCGACCCGATGGTCCATGAATTCCAATTTCTGCCAATTCACGATAGCGCGACCACTAGCCAATGTCTTCAGCGAGTATTTGTCCTCACACCCGACCTGCTGCACCCTGTCAACTCATGATGAAATCCTGTAAACAACCAAATCCCTACAAACCAACACATATACATCGATGAGGTACTCACTAGCGACTTGCCCTATTCAGGTAGGTAGACAACTGGAGTTCTAGTGAGAAGTCATGACCAATAGGGTACAGCAGGTCGGGTGTGAGGACAAATACTCGCTAAAAACATTGGCTAGTGGTCGCGCTATCGTAAATTGGCAGAAGTTGGAATTCGTGGGCCATTGGACTTGATCCCAGTGGCTGAATGATATACGAGCTCGCTTTGTAACCAGAAGGTCCTAGTTTTGAATCCCTAACTGGGACGAAACAGCTGTCCAGTACTCCCTGGTTTGGTTTCCAATGGTTCTCTGACCAATGTCAGCTCATGATGAAATCTGTAACTTAATTTATTCCTCAACCAGAGAACTTTTGAACATAATAGCTAGTAAACGCAAATCAAAACAATACCTGAAACTATACTGGGATACAAGTACAAGCTGAAATAATAATTGTCCGTCGGTTTTGATTATCATTTAAATACATACAATACATATTATTAAGAACCCAAGACCAAATGAGACTGAGCAACTAGGTGACCTGTTTGTGTATTTATAATCAAAAAATATAATATTTAGACGTTGAGTTATATATTCAGTTGTTTGAAGCTAATTACATGGGACGTACTGAGAGGAAATTATCTTTAATGTACTCATGAGGATACATTAGTATGGCTTCCGAAATAAGTAACCAAGTTAGTAAATAGGGATTAATGAGGAAAAAATACAGTTTTTGTTTAACGAAGAGACATTTCTTTTCAACGACTTCATTTTCAAGTTGTACAGTCCTATTTATATCCTGTAAAACGGCATTAAGTGGCACTGGAAATAGCTCCCCCAATATATGTATGATAAAAATATAGGTGATTAACATGGTCTTAAGGAGGTAGAGTTGAAGTGGATGAATTAAAAAATTCTAAAAAATTATTAAGTAAGTGAATTAATATAAAAAATTTTAAAAGTGTTGTCAAAAAATAAGAAGTAAGATGATAACAGTGTAGGAGATGGAGTGAAGTGGAATTAATTCCGGCGATAAAATAAAATATAAAAAGAAACATTACCATGAAAAAGATGAAGAAAGATATTTAATAAAACCTTATCGAATACAGTTTCGATTTTTATCCGTGTTTAGCTAGAATTGCTGCAATACATAAGTGGAGAAAACTTAAAATTTTAGAGCGACCACAGATGGCACTGTAGACAACTTTAAATGGTAAACTGCCTGGAGTTGAATTAACTGACTGAAGGTGTTCAGGGATGGAGAACTTCGCCATCTTTTGTCCGACTATGATCATCCGAATGTTTCCGGAGAACACGCTATGTCTAATGTGTTCAGCGTCATAGGAACATGCGAAAGAGTAGGTGCACATAGTCTTGCAAGTAAGCGATTGTTTATCCTTCACATTTTGCTGAATCATACTTTGGATCGAGAATACTAGGTGTGAGTTAGACGCATGAAAGATCGCTTAGAGCACGACTTTTAGTAACTTCAGCAACAGTGTCACACTAACCCAAACTACATGCTGACATGATTCCATTGCTTTCATTTCTCATGGGCATGTATTCCAGTCTCTAAATGTGCTAAATCGAAAATTATCGGAAAATATAATCTGCATGTACTCTACTCAGCCTTATTCGCTGCTCACTGTTTAGGTGCTCATCATTCATAACCTTGTATTCCCCGTCACCACCTCTTACTACATTATATCAAAGAAAACTTTGCTTGTTGTCGGTTTATAGTAGGCCGAAATACTGGAGCCGACTAAATTTTTTCACGGTTTCATAAACAACCTGAGTTTCCTAGATTTGACATTTGTTAGCCATAAATGACTGAAGGTAAAGGATATGCTGACACAGTATTCATATTCATTAGCATAAACGTATCCATATACTGGTTCATTCAGAATCCTATGCCTTTTGAGTAACTTAGCAACATGCCGTCTACTTTCAGTGCCCACAGCCTAAGCAGTGTTGCACATTAGAAAGGCTTGAAAATACTCAAGCTAAAAAAATCAGTGATTCTTAAGTAAGAGAAAGGAATTTCAGCTACAGAATAGTATGAAGATTGTTCGATGTTCTCTATGCTTTGAGACTTGGCTGTCAACATACCACCTAAAGAACTGCTGATATCTTTGGTACCAACTTTTTTAGGAATTCACATACAGAAAGGATAATCATGTTTCAAATAAATATACTATCAATATATGAAACGGATGGAGAATGAGAATATAGTGGAACGCTTTATTGAAATGATCGAAGTAAGTACTGAGGATGGTATGAAGCCTGCTGATGAAAACTTCACAATCAAATATCAAAGGCCGAAAAACAGAATCTATTTTTGTTAGTGGTATTATCTTTCATTTTAACGAATACATGTCTGTTAGAACTAAGTACAACTATACGCCAATTTCATTGAAACAATTCCAGCTATAGAATTCATGTGTAGAAAAAAATCCTAATTTAAAATGATCTTTTTTAGATTTTCTCACAAAAAGCTCAGGTGGTAATATAAATAGAGAACTTGCATATGAAGAATACCTGGACTGGACAGTATACGCATTCTAGAAACTTGTTTCCCTTGCAGAACAAAAAATGTAAGAAAAGCAAAGTCGGCAAAAAGTCTCTTTTCAGTTAATTCATTCACTTAGCTGTACAATCGCATTTATTGTTATTTTGTGTATGTATGTGTGTACATTAGGATTGTCAAACAAAAATAAAAATTAGTTATTGTTACTGTTTACGTCATCGAAATGTTTCTAAAATGTGATGAATAACCAAAATTTTAACTAGGGAATGTGGAGATTGGTAAGTATTGAAAAGGATTGCGTAATATGAAAGACATCCAAAAATAGGATGTTAATGAAAGAGCATGGAGACAAGTGTCCAAAATAGATTATGTAATAGGTAGAAAGAGAAAATAAAGGGTTTGTTCAGAAGGGATGTTACTTAGATGTCACACAAAAATTCAAAAACCAAAAACATCACTAACAAAGCATGGAACTTGGAATTATATCAAAGGCAGAAGGAAGGGGTGGAGAAGCTTCTTTCATGTCCGTAAATCAGGGTTTTCTATCCGGATCACTAGGGCTTCGACAATGCAAAG